TATGAAACTGAGTTTTAGGGTTTGAGTTTTTGAACTAAAATACATTAAACTAGTAAGCGGTGAAATATATATAGGTAGGGGGAAGTCTGTTATTAAATGTAATCAAATGTGTCAACTTTATCCAACTTTTTGGTTGCATGTCCACTTATGATTGGTTGGGACCACATGATCCAGACTATGTAATAATTTCTCAGCATTTTGGTTGCGTGTCTGCCTATGATTGGTTAGGACCACATGATTCCAAACCATGTAATAATTTCTCCTTGAATAGAGCCTAAAAGGGAATTTCAAATAATAAACATTAAACAATTGCTAGAAACTTCCACGGGGAAAGAGAGAAGAAAGAGGTGGTGATGGAAAAACGAAAGAGATACATTGATATAGGAGTGGATGTGGCGGGGCGTGACATCCAAATTAGATGTAATAATTTAGGGAGGTGGTATTCACACTCCATTTTTTTCCAGTTGCACTCCATTTACCTTTTTCTTTTAAAGGAAATGACAAGAAGGTCCTTAAATTCATTAATGCACCATCCCTTAATTTATATAATGTCATAACTACCATTTATACAACTTTAACTTTTTTTTACCTTCTTTACTTTCTTTACTATTTTTTTTTCCTTTTTTTTTTTTCAGAGGTCCTCTCAAAGAAAATAATTTATTCATACTAATAATTTATTTTTGGCAATAAAAAGAGATCATTTATTCCATAGTGACTTTTTTTTAGTACAATCGAAAGATATATTTATTCAACAAAATTAACTTTTTCAATAGAAAGAGATAATTTTTATTTTTTGGTAATTTTTATAGGTCTTATCCAAAGAAATAATTTATTAGATAAAAATAACCTTTTTTTTTTTTTTTTTTTTTGTCTTATCAAAAAAGATAATTTATTCAATAGAGATATATATTTTTAATCCCCCTTTTTTTTTTCTTTTTAGGATCATGACAAAAGAGATAATTTTTTTAATGGTTACATTTTTTTTCTTCTTTTTTTTGTTTTTGTTTTGGTCTAGTCAAAAGAGGCAATTTATCCAACATAAAAAAATAAAAATTCAAGAAACCTAAAATATTAAAGATTAAAGATAATAAGATTTGTAAAAGAAATAAGGAGATGAAATCTGAAAGGGGCAGTTGTGTCATTTAAAAAGTAATAATTATTTATTTATAAAATTAGGGTTAAAATTGTCGTTTCATTGAAGATTGTAGTGCAAACGTTGAAAAGTGGAGTGCGAATATCGCCTCCCATTTCAACGGACCTGGCCTAACAATATCAATTTCTTATTTCTCAAAGAGAGATCAGGGTTCAAGTTTCAGAAGAGATAAGTGTGTGTTAGTACCAACTAGAAAAAATATATATATATATCGCCTCCCATAATTTAATAAGGTTTAAATTGTTTATATAGTGATTTCATTTTCTTATTGAGGTTATTTTTGTAATTTGTTATATAAGGACATTTTTATTTTTTTATCTGATTTTAATTAGACTAGCAGTCAACTAACGGGAAAGTGGTCAAAGTTAGTCCGCCTGAAGAGAAATTCGCCACTCTTTTCTACTATTTTAACTCGAGGGTCATAAAGGCAAATCTCATGAAATGTCGGGGTGATATATTTAAAACATTTTCTGTAACAAATTTATTGAAGAATGTTTCATAAATAAATAAAAAATGAATTACTTTAAAAAAATTATTTTTACATTATATTGATTTTTTTTTTTTTGTAAAAAATCTCATTACAACAATTGCCAAACAAGCCTCATAATAAATTTAAAGAATAAGAGAATATATATATATATATATATATATATATATATAAGAATAAAATTTTGAAGAAGAAAAAACAAAAACAAAGAAGAAGAAAATAAAAATTAAGAGAACTTTGAAAGGAAAAAAATCGGGTTTGATTGAAGATAGAGAATGTAATTTTTTTAAGAGAGCGAGAAAGAATTTGAAGAAAAATAATAAATATAGTGAGAAGGAAAAGAAAGAAATATTATAAAGATTTAAAAAAAAAAAATTTGTATAGGGGAGTATTCTGCAAACTTTTACAAATCTTATAACATAGATGATAGATGTAAGAAAAATTAATGGGGCCAGGGCCGGGGCAGTTGCTCCCTTTGTGCTCATATTTGCTCCGCCCCTATTGATCGAGAAATTATTAATTATAACGGTTGTGTCATGTCATTCGTGCAACAAACAATATAAATATGGGTTAAAGTAAATGGTCTTATAACAACTTAATAAATTGCGATGAATCCAACCATTTTACTTCAAGGAGTTTTTGTATTGGTTAGTTACACGAATAACATTGACAAAATGTATGCTACAATAAAAAATAAAAGTAAACTATCACATCATTATGGATCATTACGGATAGATATGATAATTATTCATTCATTATAAATATAATAAAAAAATATTAAAAAATTATCATCTTAAAAAGTTAGATTTCCAAAAATAAATATACATACATACATACATATATATATATATATATATATATATATATATAGTGTGTGTGTGTGTGTGTGTGTGTGTGTGTGTGTGTGAGGGAGTTAATTGAAGGATCTAACTTTCAATTTATGTCTGACTCTGACATGTTTGATTTCTTTGAAGTTTCTTGATATCTCTTTGATATGCATCTTAAAGCCCCAAATGTGCCTTGTGTTGCATTTGGGAGCACAAATCGGCGCCTCGTCGGTGCTCCCAAACATAGCCTTCTGTTCATGCTAACCATGCAATATAGGATATAGTATAGAAAACTGCATTTCACATTAGAGCAACATGGTTCTTAACCTGTGTTTGTATCTAGACCTTTCGTCACAATTTACAATGAAGGAGCAAAATAATCTTTAAAGTAGTTTTAATTCACAAGGTTACTTTGATTCTTAGTTCCAGTATTCAGTAAAAATTTCTCTTACAATACATGGTATACTTTAATTAAGAATTTAACTTAAACCACATTACGATCTTTTATTAGTTTCATCTTTATAATTAAAATATAGAGGACTAGATGGTCTCTGTTGCGGGTCTTTGATGGAATAGAAACATGATAATTATTCATTCACTATAAATATAATAAAAAAAATATTAAAAAATTATCATCTTAAAAAGTTAGATTTCCAAAAATGAATATATATATATATATATATATATATATATATATATTTTTGGGACAGAAAGGAGAGGGTTTTGAGATGCAATGGCTAAAAGCACTTTTCACAAAGCATTCATTTCAAAATCCTCCTAACTACAAAACGTCTACCGCCCAAAAAGTGCTTTTCTATGCCACCAAACATAACTTAAAAATCAATCTTTACATCAATCTCTACACTTTTTTAACCGGCAATATTAACGAGAATAGTACTCTGGGACCCAAACAAACCTTAATTTAATTAGAGTTGTTATACTAAATAGAGAAGAACAATGAAACAAGATTACAAGTTTTTGCAATTTTTTAGTTGCAGACTTGGGGCTGTTATTAACTTAGCACTATGTACATTGATTAAGATTTTAGTTTGTGCAAGTTTGTTAAAGCAAGAAAGCTGAGCTCATGGTTTACCGTATCAATCGGTTCGTAACATTTTTTTAAGGAATTGTGAAAAGAAATGTGATTCATTAGGTTGGTTAACCTTTTTATGGAGTCTGACTCATTTATTAAGAATGAGCTCAAGTTTATTTATTATTATTTTTTAAAAAAGAACTACATGAGCCAAGCTAGGAATAGATTATTGAGTGCACCGACTAATCCAAGTTGTACATTCACAATACGTGCTCGCGTACACACAACACACAACACGTACAGTTCAGACGAGCCTAGTGCACGGTACATCGGGCGCACCCAATACCTTCTCGCCGTGCTACAGTCAATTAGCATGGTTCCATTCAAACTCAAGCTCGAATAATCGAAGGCTTCTTAGTTAAGCTTACTTCAACCTGAATATAGCGTTTTTAAAAAATAAAAAATAAAAAAACCGAATAGAGCACTAATTATGATTCTAGCTACTTGGCATTTCAACCTGAAATATTGCCATCACATATATTTCAACTGTTTCAATCCAACTAAATATTTAACCAAATAATAACTACAATAATATGATAATAATATATGTTGAATTTCCTTTCAATATATATATATATATATATATATATATATATGTTGAATTTGGATTGAACATGAGCTTCCAATGTCCATCCAAAGGCCAAGTTGATTTCAGATTGGATCAAATTTGTCCAGCCAAATCACACCCCTACACAAAATGGTATATGGTATTTTGAAATCATTGCCAACACAAGAAATTCTGTATTGTTTGTATATTACACAATTGACTGCATAAAAATCAAATTTTATACTACGATTTTGGCGATCCTATTGTTATGATTATTGGAGTTAGTGGTTAGGGGAGGAGGAGGGGCAAGGCTCGAACACGGACTCCGGAACACGAGGAGCAATCCAATCACTCAAGCAACACGACACTTACCATCCAAATTTTCGATCAAGTTGATCCTTCAGTAAATAGAATTTTCTGAGATTAATCAATCACTACTCACTAGAGATAGCAACCGAGCAAATAAAGGAAAATCAAGAATATATTGCATTGAGACTTTAAACAACACTTAGCATAACTCGTCAGAAATCAAGACACTCTTCCTCTGCTGCCAAAAGGAAAAACACACGCAAACACACACTGTTCCTATGAGTAGTATCTGCAGGTCATAAGGTGATAACAAGCATTGTTTAACACTAACAATGGTCATTAATCTGCACAGTGATCAAATGGGACTTGTTTCACAAGGTAACCATAATAACCCTTCTGGCAATAAGTATCAAACGAGGACGAATACACTTACGAAGACCACAAGTTCAAGACAGCGATTCCAAGTCCTAACCTACAAAAAATTTAGTTTACAATTATCAATTTAAATTATTCCTCAAATTAAATATTTTTCAGTATCATCAAATCATAAAAAATTTAGCATATAAAAATGTCATACGAGTAAATAGAAATAAGAACCAATCTATAGGTATATTTATCATGACTTGCAATTCTTATTATTATTATCATCATCGTCATTAAATTTCGGCATGTCAAGCCTTGGAAAGGTTCTTTGCTTTACAACGAATTAAACCACAAACATACTCCCAACGCAGGATACTTGAAGCATTAGCTACAACACTACTAATGCCAATACACATAATGCCTATTATCCATCGTTTATGGCTAGAACTGCTGGGACATCTAATTCCAATCGCTCCCCTAGATTTCGCCTCTAATTGTCAATGTGGGCCCAATAGAGTGCTTTCACCATTGGTGTTCTTTCTGATCACTACACATTTCACCACTACCGAAAATTTCCCCTGCCCCTACCGTACTCTAGCTTGGAAACTTTCCACCACCTTTCAGAGTAGAGCCCTGGAATTTGACAGCGGACTTAAAAGTCACCTACACTTTACATCCAATCATTCTCGATAACGTTTGCATCCTCTGTATTAGCGCTGCTGCTAGCACAGACTTAGTTGTTTATTCCCTAGATTGCTTCTTCTCCGGAAAAAAAGTTCTTCATGACCAATAGGCCTTCTACCTCCACACGACATTGCTCAGGGGTGTGTCTAACGTGAACAAACCAGAAAAGGAGCCGCACTCAATGCAATATTATGTAAAAATCAAGGATAAAACATCTTTAAGAAGAGATATAAGTAAACATCAAAAATAGTATAAGAAATAGAAGTTATTGGTATATTGAAAAATACTTGGAACTCTTCACCCTTTACCGTAAAAAAGGAGAAAAACATAAAATGGAAAAACACACAATTTTAGAGCAAGAAGTGTCTGTCCCAAGGACACTTTCAATGTTCTCAAGAAACAACACATTAATTTTCTAAAGTGAGAAACCAGATTCATCTCAAGCAATCCTGCAGCAACTTCCATCTCATAAAATAAAGATTCCAATAAAAGTTGTGCCAACATTTCAATACATGAATTTCCAATCTTGACCCCTAACTTGCACAATCATTTTTCACACAAGTGATATACTAAGCAATTGGGGAGAGAAAATTTCTTCTCATACAATATAGGTGGGGACAAGTTGAAGGTATTACCTTCATTCACTACGCCTACGTCGTCGGAAATGCCTGAGAATAAAGCTGTCTGCATAGAGTGGATAATTTTTCCTGATCAAGCCTTTTATGCATTTCCAATATGAAAAGTCAACCAGCTCTCCATCCGTCCGGACAATGAACATACACCGTGAGCTTTCAAAATTAGGATGGTACCCAACCTGTCAACCAGAAACGAGAAACATGCATAATTCAGCAAATGAATTCAGGTGAAAATAAAATACTATAGCACACATTAAGAAACCTTTCCTAGTGAAATCTACTTACAAGTGCAGAATAAAACCTGTGGAAGCCCCGCAACATAAAAGAAATTGTTGTTAGAATATTATATTTTATAGATTCCACCCCAACTCCACCACCAAAAAGAAAAACTGATGTGTTCACATACATGTGTTCTCTTCATGAATTTATTTTCAACAAGTTATTATTTAAAAAGAAAAAGGCCCGGTAACCTCAAAATTCCTGCCTTCCTATAATTGTCAATTGCAGGTTCTTTCACCATAAAAGAGAGTTGCTATCCTCTGGGCAGCATTCTGGTGTCCATGAATGTATAGGATTTGTATTGACTGTTGAACAAATATGATGAAAAAGGAATTTATTTGTGCACTACATTTACCGTCAACAAATAGACTTTTGAGGGGATTCTAAACATACTTCAGCATGTTTTCAGCCATGAGCATGACACAAATAGCACTAATTGAATTCTAGTTTGCATGTTCACAAACTCAAGTGAAAAATTAGCTATGTTCTCAAGTAAACAAAAGTGATCAATAACACAATGAAATGTAAAAGAAAACTTTATAAGACAATTATTAGGTCAACTATTTTATACGGAGCAAAGTGTTGGTCGTTAAAAAAGAAACGAGAACAACGTACATGTAGCGAAAAAGAGGATGTTAAGATGGATGATAGGACTAACTAGAAGAGATTGGGTTACAAACTAACATGTGATAGAGAAATTAGGGGTGGCACCAATTAGTGATAAGAGAGGGTAGACTTTGGCAGTATGGGCATATACAAGAAAAGTTTATAGAAGCACCAATACGAAAAGAGACTAATTTGCATAGAAGGTAGGAGACAGGGAGGGCGACCGAAATTAATATGGAATGAAATCATTAGAAATGACTTTAAAAAGTGAACTATTATAGGAGGCATTGCTCGTAATAAAATAGGATGGGAAAAAGATAATTCATGTGGCAGCATTCATATGGTATTAAGGCAAGCATTAAAATTAATCAAGGGTTGCGAGCGAACACCCGTATGGTATGCATATAGAGTGTATAACCCCTATAAGTTCTAAAAATCCCCTAACATTCAATTTTGGAGCAAACGAGAACCTAAATGATGAAAAGACTTAAGTGTCCCTTTATAACTGAATTAAAAAAAAAAAAAAAAAGGTAAAAATAACAAATTAAATGTGAAATGACTATACTATCCCTCTTTTATTTTCTTTTTTTGATTTCTTCTTCAACATCACTGCCGCTAGCGATGAAGCCAGTCGCCGCCAGCAGCAACCAAACCCTCTTTCTCTCTCTCCACACCACCACCACCGTCCGCAACCACCCCCGAATTAGGCCCACAACCACCGTCCACAAGTATCAATAGATTTTCCAAAACTATTCATAGATTTTCGAACAACTGGTTCTTCAATCTGAGATTTTTCGGCAGGCCGTTTTAGGCCCTCCATCGGCAGAAACGACAGAGGGGCTGACTTGGGCTCATGGTTAGTGAGAGAGACTGAAAATTACTCTTGCTTGCTTCACCCAAAGGCTTGTCCTCAGAAAATGGTGTTTGGCACAACCATGACTTGAACCCAGAAACAGAATTAGCTGCACTATTATGATCAAATGGCACATGGTACATGTGATTGGCATGGTTAGTGTTTGGATGACAGTTCTGGATTTGGAGTGTTTGGATCATAGTAGTACTTTGTGGGTTGTCATTGTAATGGTAAGGTTGGACAAATTGTGATGGGTCTGTGAGATTATACTCTCCTCTGCCAATATTATCTCCATTAGTAGTGTTATTGAAGTTTGGTGGTGCATTAACATTGATTCCATCTTCTCTTGCTTGGCTATAAACTTTGGTCTATTCATGAGCAGAGTTTGTGCAGCAACAACCCAATAAATCTTCAAGCTTTGGTCCCTCTGTGTTTGAATCACTTGCACCCATATATATGGGTATATTTGTGTGTGTGTGTGTGTGTGTGTGTGTATATGGACATATATATAAGAGAGAGAAGGAAGAGATGGAAGAAGAATTGGTGGTGGCACTGTGGGTAAGTGGTTACCAGGTCGAGCTCCGGCGTCTGGTTGATCGGAGAAGAACTTCATTGTCGGCAGCATCAGTGTGTGTGTATATATATATATATATAATATAAGGGCATTATCGGAAGAGATAAGGGTATTTTCAGAATTTCATATCTTAATAGTGACTTCAAGCCCTTCTTTGCTCAATTTTCAAACTTAATGGACTTATTTACAATACACAACATAAGCCCTTATTTGCTAACTTTTTCAAACTTAATGGACTTATATACACAACATAAAGGATAGGAGTGTTATTTGCCCAAAATGTAAACATTAGGGGTGTTTTTTTCTCACTTTACCCATTAATCAAACTATTCAGCTTGATTACCCTAAAAAAAAAGAGTATCTCTTACAATTGAAACGACTATGAAATCAAGAAACCTTTCAAGCATTTTTCTGGTTGTTGAGTTTGCACGATCCACCTAATTTCAAAGTGCTTGTAAAATGTAACAAAAAATGATGATTCACTATACCAATTTCAAAAGAAAAAACAAAGGATAAAGGAAAATTATATTTTAGTGACCCAACCTAAATAAAATTGCTTTAAAGTGACCACAAAGTCAACAAAAGATGAATAGTCACCAATTTTAAAACTTAATGCTAATAAGTGACCTTCAAGGATAATTTAGCCAAGCAATTAAACAATTTAAGAAAAAAATCAATAACGTTAGGGTTTTAGTTGGATGGTGGATTAACGCTCTCACAAACTTCATCAAACCTCTGATCAGAACTTCACTGCCGGAGATTAATGTAGCGTCAGTTTCTAACTATGATTCCAAGGAGTCTTCGACCTCTGTTCTTCAGTTTCATCCTATTGAAGAGGCAGAGACTATTAAACAGAAACCTCCGGACAAAGCTTCATTGCCAAAGGTTGATGTAGCATCAATTTCCGACTGTGATTCTGAAAAGAAGTCTCCAATCTCTATCCTATTTGATTTTGATGAAAGCAATGCCCAGTAAAGAAGTAGAGATAAAAGGGTTTGGAAATCAGTTGAACAAGTTACAGAGGATATGAGTTTATCAGATGAACGTTGCCCATTGTATAAGAGTTTCTCGAATGAACCTTTTGATTTCTGCTCTCCATTGCCGATTCTTTTTGACAAAGTGAGAGTATCAGAAGATTTTTACTGCGACGTTTTGGTGATTTTAGATGAAGCGTGGTCTGCCACCATATCTACACCCATTGGTACCTCCTCCAAGCCCCGTGACGCAATCTCCACTGCCATCACAGCACTCACCTCGTCTTCTATGTCAATCCCAACAACCACAATGCCACAGCAACCACCGTCACTACCCCAAGGCATAGCCTCAACGCCTCCATCCTCAGCTCCCTCCCTGTCTTTGCCTACTCCTCCAGGACCCACCCGACATGCTAGAATGCACCGTGTCCTTATCGGACAGCAACTTGAAGCAGAGAGTGTTTAATGTATAAGGGTAGATTTGTCTACTTATAAAATAATTTATTATAAGGGCATTTACATAATAAATCATCAAATGATCACTTTTTTTCCCCTAAGTATCATCAAATGGTCAACTATTAGCATTTAAGTTTTAAATTTGGTGACTATTGATCCTTTCATGACTTTGGGGTTACTTTAGAACAATTTTGTTTAGGTTGTCACTAAAATCTAATTTTTCCAAGAAATAATTGGAGGCAAAACAGTTCGCAACAGACATTACCACTTGAAGGATAATAAAGAAAAAAATATTAAAGAGATTTCATTCATTAAAATTAAGACCCAGTGTATCAAGAAAGACTCCCAGCTGTATATGCTTTTACCCCAAGAACGGCATGCTTTTACCCCAAGAATGGCGGGTCAGACATATATGAGTTTAGCAAAACGAAACTCTTACCTATCTCATAAGTATATATATTTTATAAAGCATGAAGAAAAATGAATTCAGCATAATGTTGCAAGTGTATCTTTTATGACTTCTATTGTAAAGTAATTAAAAAGGTGAAAAAATATCAGAAACTGGTTATCAAATGCCTTATTACACAGAATTAGAGATGACAGAATATCATGTGTCATGGATGTAGAAACTAAGTTGAAGCTCCCAAGAGGGTGTTACTAAACAAATTATTATCAACTAAACTTGGTTCTCTGTTATGGAAAATGGGGGTCAGAGAGAGAGAGAGAGAGAGAAATACTGTGATGTAATCAACTCCACATCCGATCTTCTTTTCACACTCCGGATGGTATGGAAGCAACTTCTCTAGAATGGTTTTCTCATGCTCAGGGCTTAATCTATCACCACTCCCGTACCTGCAACAAGAATTCCCACTTGCATATGATGATAACTGGCACCAAAATAACTAACATAAATTAAGCAATGACTTTAGCGAATGATGAACTTTTAGGGTAATATATTTAATAATAAATTTAACATGTAATATTATATAACGATATGTTAACATGTAATATGATACTAGAAATACTCAACTTAACAAAAACATCTTTCCAACTATTTGTATTCGACTAAATGAATCTGTCACTCCACTCTGTCTAAAGGTCAAAATCTTAGTCAAAATCAATGCTATCGTATCTTTATTAACTATTTCAATCGATGTTAGTTTTGGCCTTCCCTTTCTCCTACATTCATCTTCAATGAGAACTACATCACTTTTCCTAACTCGTGCAGTTATTAGTTGTTGTACGTGACCAAACCATCTTTAACCAGTTTTTCTCATTTTATCTCCAATCATTGCTACTTCAAGCATCTCATGAATGTTCATTTCTAATTTTATCTTTTTTTGGCTTGCCACATATTCATCTCAACATATGCATTTCTGTCACTCACTTTATGAAAATGTTACATCTTAGCAGTCCAACATATAGTCCCTTAAAGTATGGCTGGTTTAATATCAATAGTTCTCTAAAAATTTAGAGGTTGTTGAAGGATTTAAATATTAATGTTACACTCTCTCTAAGAGCTTAAGCTTTTAAAATAGATGGTAGTTAACATGGTATCAGAGCCAAAGGTCTCAAGTTGGACCAAAAGAAGGCCACACGTGAGGGGGCGTGTTGAAGGATTTAAATATTAAAGTTACACCCACTATAAGAGCTTAAACTTTTAGAGTAGATTGTAGTTAACAAAGGTTTATGCCAAAAGCACTCCTCCATTTAACCTATCCTACCTTAATTTTATGATTAATATCATCTCCTAGATATGCAAAGATATTTTTGCTCATCCCAATTACTTGAGCCAGTAAGTAATATATTTTTTGTTAAAAGCTCTGTAATCATGAATATAGACCATTCCTTAGTTGACAATGAACTAAACTATTCTGCTTGAAATTGTTCAAAAATCATAGATGAGCTAATTTTTAACTTTAACAAGACCTCCTATGAGATGCCATCAAGAGGGTATAGATAGGAAGTTGCAGTAAAACAGAAGCATCTGCATAATGTGGTACAGTGGCAGTACAGATCACAAAGCATTTGCATTAAGCCTAGATATATTGGAGAACATCATTTAACTCAGGTCAATATTCTTCACAGCAAATTGTACTTTAATGCCTAAAATCTCAGTTCAAATGGTATTTAATAATCCAAGATCAAAAGATGCTTACTACTCAGCTAGTGCATACAAATAGTAAGTTTATTTAGGTGCAAGTCATCATTGGAACATTGAAACTGCCACCATATATCATCAACCCCATATTTAGGATGATGAAATAGTATAGTTTAAAACATGGATTTGTTTTATACCTTAGGTATTGTGATAGGAAGGGAGGCTCTTCTATTTCCCAAACACGAGACTCCGATTGTGGCAATTTGAAGCTTCAGTTTATCTCCCCCCACTAAAAAAATAAAATAAAATAAAATAAAATAAAAAACCCAAATTTCTCCACTCAATACAAGCCTATGAATAAATTTTCTGAAATAGCTGCATCAGTACAATCTAAAATCACCACCAAAGGGTTGTAGCCTAGTGGTACTTCCTCGCCTTCTAAAGTAGAAGGTCAGGGGTTCAAGTCTCCACAGGGTAAAGTGGGTGTGTGAGTCTCAATTAAGAAATTTACACACACACACACACACACACACACATACAATCTGAAGCCTTAGTTCACTACTAGTGCTATTTGTGCCCTTTGACAAGCTTCTTGCCTTTGTGAGCATTCAACCGTGGCAAGTAGATAAGGAAGGCAATACCGAGGCTATCTATAACTAGTTTCTTGGTGCACCATTTCCATCAAGCAGATTACCAAGAAACTAAGAGCACTAACAAAATTATGCTTACTAAAGTATTAAATCGTGGCAGTGCCAGAATCCATGTATGTTAATATGAAAATGGAACTGATGTAAGAGGAATGTGGTACGTTTCGGTATGAACCAACAGTAAAGACCTGCAAAAGAGGTCACCAACTCTAGACTATTGCACATCTTATGGAAGTTGAGCCATTCAATTGCATTTTGCAACAGCTCAGAGGACTATATTGAATCTTCTATAGCACTTTAAGTGAGTCCATTCACTACCTTTATTGCCAAATTTGGGAGCACTTCTGTTCTTTCTGTTACAAGTCGCGAAAAAAGTTCCATTGTTCTTCTATCAGGGAAATGATACACAATGACATCACAATATTCAAATTCAAATTTTTTTATGCCCACGCGAATAGCTACTAAGGAAATGTAGTCCCACTTCAATTAAGACAATAAAATGAATCCACATACACACATAGATATGTACACAGAGAGAGAAATGAAGACCTTACTTGCCAGAATGAAGAATCATCCTAACAAAGCCAACAAGAGGTACAGTGTCCTCCAAAATCTGGTCCTCCCAATCAACCCATCCCTCTTCTTCCCTTCGCTCCTCCTCCTCCTCCTCCTCCTCCTCATCGTCGTCGGAGACTTTCGTCAAATCCTCACTGGAAGAATCCACCGGCGGCGATACAACCGGCTTCCTGAGCAATTCAGAATTGTAGGCATCTTGACTACTGCTCCTAATTTCACCACCGCTTTTGAGGGCACAGGAACGCAATCGAGAGCGATATGAAGGGAAAGATAGACTATTGGAAGAAGACAACAGTAAGTGGAGAGAGATAGGGTTTCTGTGGATGTGAATGTGTGGGGACGTCGAAGAAATTGAAGCCATGGTTAATGAGCTCTCTATATATATACGTGTGTATATGTATATATGGTTCTTGCTGCTATGGCTTTGCTTCACGACTCACCATGATTTTCTCTCTCTAACTTTGATCTTTTGGTTGTTTGTTTGGGTTTTGGACGATTTGGAGGAGGGAACGGCCACAGCTACTTCATCGCTTCACTGAAATCCTTCACTAGAAGATAAACACACAGTCAGCGACCGAGTGGGGTAACCCGACCCGGACTTGCTTGAGTTGGAGAATCACCGCAGCCTTGGGGAGGCGTACAAGAATTGGATAGGTTTGAAAATATTTTGAAATTAAAATCGTTAATAATTTCATAAAAATCAAAATTGAACAGAACTATGGAATCAATAGAATCAAACCGTGAGAAAAAGGCTTGTTTTAGTTTAATTTTACAGTTTTGAACTTTTTTTTATTTATTATATATTATGATATATAATTGAGTGGTTCAAAGATTAATCTTACTGTTTTATTATTTATATAATACAAAATATATAAATACATATATAATTTATAAAATGATTCGATTTGGTTTGGTATGGTCTTGTAGAATTTCAAAACGTAACATAACCATTTTTAAACGGTTTCATGTGTTTTGGAACCGTAACCAAATCGAATGGTGTAAAAATCAAACCAAACCTTTTAGTCCGGTTCGATTTATTGATTTAATCGGTTTTTTGTGCACTCCTACCGCAACCGCATGCCCATACATATATATACCACACACTCGACCGAGCCGTGCTACTCATGTGAAAATTATTTCCAGACATGTATTAAAAAAATAACATTACTTCCCTTTCTTTTCCTAACTAGTTCCCAAGTTGATGAGAATTAAAAGTTTCTTGTCGAGATGGAAATTATGTATTAACTTTCTTGATTCTTTGTTAATAAATATATCTTTAACTGAATATCAGACAGATGCATTGAGAATTTTTGGGTAATCATAGTCGTCACAATCTTACCTTCTTCACTAATGGATGTCCCCTTAACTATGAAAGATGAATATATATAAACTTGATTTAAGAGTTGCGGAATAAAATTTACATATTTAAGTTAAAGATTTTAGGGTTTTTCTCTTATTTTTAACTTTCTTGATTCGTTGTTAATAAACATGGATGTTTCGTTCTAAAGCCATCAATATCAGACGACAATTTTTCGGTAATCATAGTTGTCACTGATGGTTTTGTTTGCTTTGTTATAGCAAAATTTATGAATCGTAATTGACATTGGTTGCATTTTATATTATCTGTTATTTATTTAAATTCTTTGTATATATATAGTGTGAATTCTATGTGTTGGTCAGTTCGGGATTTGAATCGAGGCTGTCCACTTGATTACATAATGTGATTTGTATTTACATGAACGTGTTCATGTATAGAATGTACAAATTATTGAAATTGCATAATCATAATAAATGGTTTAGTGTCGGTGATAAATGATGAATTATTTATTAATAAAGAAATTAATTGGATCAAGAATAAGTTGGGCCAAATGTGAGAGTGGTCGTAACAATTGCTCCTTGTCATTGTCATGGCGAAGGACTCTCAAGCATGAGAGCGGTATAAACTCTTATATTAATTAATAATGGATTTGATTTATTCAGTGGGCCCTATGGTCTAATATCTGGTACTTTGATAATTATTAATTTTACCCAAGTATTGACTCTAGAAGAGAGTGAATAGAGTCTATACTAATTTTCGATTTATAGATATGCAATTTAGAAACAAATAACTTTATTTAATTGTGCAATAAGATGGATAGTATAACAAATAGTAAATGCACAATAATAAAGGAGATAAGGGAAGAGAAATTACAAACTATAACAAGCTGATTTATCGAGGTTCGGAAACTCCTACTCCTCAGCTCAAGACCCTCCTTGAAACTTTCCCAAATCCACTAAGGCTCCTCCTTTGTAGTGGAGAGTAAACCCTTACAATTTGAAACAAACTTGTTTCTTCTTCCTTTACTAATAGAACTCTTAGGCTTCATTTGGGTCATACCAACCCTTTGTAGTAAATGTAGTAACTATAAGAAGAATTTAATACAAGTGATATTTCTCAAAGATTGATTTACAAATCAAAGCTCACAATACTATAATAACAACTGAAGTAAATGAAACTCGAGTCTATTGATGAGAAGGAGAGAATGGAATAGTGTAATGAATGCTTAAATGCTAACTCTTAGTTACTCATAAATGTTCTCTCAAGACTTATATATGTTCTTCATCAATGTATCATGTATATATAGAGAGAAGAGAGCAGATTATAGCTGTCGGGGTAAATGAGAAGCATTAAATGATAATGTAGCCGTTAGATTCAAATCTGGCTAAGAGTCAGTCGACTGATGAAGTACTTTCAGTCAGCCGAAAGTTCTTGGTCGAACAAGCTTCCTTCAGTTGGCTGAAACGACGATTTGAAGAACCCAACTTTCTGTTTGGGTAGTTAGCCAATTGGCATGTTTCATCAGTCGACCAATCCTCCTCTAAAGGCTGTTTAATGGTCTTTAAAGTGCATTGAGTCTTCCTTTGAATCATAGGTCAAAGTATGAATGATATATGAAGTCCATGACCTATTCTAAGGATCAAATATGATAGTATGATAATGATGCATGATCTTAAATAGAGATGAGCTTCAAAGAGATTCATAAATTACTTTGACACTGAATCCTAAACACTCACCAAACCTATCTACCCCTTTCTTCAAGCACATGCATTGATCGTTAGTTTCTTGGGGATTCTTCTTGTACAATTGAATTGAATTCTTCATTTTGAAGTCTAAGTTTCTTGAATTGCTCCTTGACTCATCCTTTGAATCTTTAAGCCCTTCTTTAATCTTTGGGATGCATTGTATGAATATAGCTTACTTTAGACTTACTTTTGGTTCCTTTATTGAGTTGATTCTTGAAAATGTGTTATACCTACAACAAATACTCAATGTAAATATTGGTCCTTAAAACACCATTAATGGTTTGTAATCATCAAAATTACTAAATTGCTCTTAGTTTGAAGCCTTAGGGTTTACAATTAATTAATAAATTGGGAATATATTCTCAATAGTTGCATCTGCACTATTACACATATACTTTGACTTGATTAATTTGATCACGAGAAAATTCGGAGGTCTCCATGTGTTTTTTTGATAAGAATTGTTTATACATATATATTAAATATATATTTTTTTTATCAAATTAATCAATTTATGTGATTAAATAGAAAATAATAAAGGAGTCAAAATAAATGGGTTAAATAAGCAGTCGGATTGATTGCATTTATTTATCCGATAACTAATTTAGTATAGAAGGGTTATTACGCAAATTGACTTAGCAGTTAACCATTTTCTAATTGGAGTTCAATTATTCTTATTTAGTGGGGTTAAGAATAGTTAATTGGCTAATTGAATTAGGTCAATGGAAATTGACCGGGTCATTTTTTATCCCATTGGAGCCATGAAGGAATGGCCAAATGGATCCTCATTCCAAGCCCAAGGCGATGATTTACGTTGGAGATGGGATTTATCAACTTTTGATTAGAGAGTGCCTGATACGTTCTCTATCCATTCTTTTGTTTTCTGTTTGAATTTTGAAAATTCAAAAGGATGGATATTGTGAGCCAATCTGATATAACAATATCAGATTTTTAGGCTACATATAACAATGTACATTCACACATTCTCCCCCAACTGAGTTATCTCTCTGTTGCAAAAAATCTCATATGTTCCACAAACAGAACCTTAAATAGTTTTCACAGAAAGACAAAGTGATGGAGAACCGGGCCTAGCCCGAGAGATTGAAGACCACATGGCCCACGCCTACTATTGGAGGCGTGGAAATGAAAAATAGAATTAAGGATTTGTGTTTATTTATTATTATTATGGGATATTTCTGTAATTAAGGGTTTTATTTATGGTACTAGGTTGATTAGGGTTTTTCTTCGATGCTTATTCATATTTTGGTTTAGACATTGTGAAAGACAACTTTGATGATTGATTATTGATAATTATTCAGAAATTATTGTGTTTCTTCTTCCTCAATTCTGATTTATCCCTCTGTAACTCTTCTCTTCTCTCTCATTCTGATTTCTTCCCCTATTATTCTTATTCTATTTCTCTCTCAATCTCTTTCTTATTTACTTGAATTCTATTTTCGAATCGCCCCCTACCCATTGCTGCTTCAATTGGTATCAGAGTAAAAGATTCAAAGTTTAATTACTTCAGCAAAATAATCAAAGCATATCAGAGCAAAGATGCGTATTGTTCATCAACGATTAATCCATGGAAACCCTAACCTTCCGTTGTCTGCCTTTACTGAACCCAAACAATACCCATCACAGCGACCCATCACCTAAATCAAATTAAACCGCGCCTTCATCATCACCCACCACTGCTTCATCATCACCAAAATCCAAACAAACCATAGTTGCTAAAACCACCCACCCATACACCGTCCACCGCTGCCAGAGTCCCCCCCAAACTTTACTGTTCAGCAAACAACCAACCCACAGCCCCTCCAAAACTCTAGTTGAATACCGTCATCAAACCCAAATCCAAACATCAACAAGCCCAATCCCAAACCCAAACCTAAACTCTTATAAACCCCAACCCAAACGCGAAGCCAAACCCTAGCTGTCAGTCATAGGCGTCGAAGGCAACAGCCTTTAACTGCCACTGCAAATTCCCATTGGAAAATTTTCGCCAATAGTTACGCCATCGGAAAGTTCATCACAGATTGTCATCTTGCTGTCCTCACCATCACCATCACCATCAAAAAGCTTGATTATTGCCGTCATCTTTAATCTTCATCAGAGATTCTATCATCAGTCATCACTTTCGCCGTCGGTATTGAATCGTTCTTGAGCCATCGTTGTCGTTGTCGCTTCTCCAAGTCGCTATTTGCTCTTAGTGTTGTCGTCAATTTACACGATTTGGGAAAAGAGAGATTGGATTCACTTTAAAGATCAGTTTGACCAACAACAGTGGTTCAACCCGGTTCAGTTTTAAACCCAACAGCCCATGTGATACCCCTAATTTCGGAACACGGGTAGATTAAATCCGCACACAAAATCAGAAGATATCAAAACAATTAATATATTTCAAACAAGCACGGATTACAAAATAAAATAAAAAAATAAATAATACGTCGATAATATCCTACTTTGAAATAAATAGAAAGAATAGATAAGTCCCCCA